TTCCTGAATAATAAGATTATTCAAATCCTCCACAGTCGCTCATACTTTGGAAGTAGGTATGAATGAAGACTGTCATGAATCCATCTATAGATTGTCTAAAGTATTTAGACATAACATAAGTTTGCTGCAGAGTTCATGAGTGTTGCTATAAGATTAGAGTATTGGATTAAACCCATGCTCACTTGGATCGCTTCATGGATTTTATCATGAGTGATTGGTGAGACGATAATATCTTATATTCTTGAAACCAAGACGTGTGAGTTGTATTCTGCAAGTCGGTTGCACATTGATAATATGTAAACGCACCAGTAAGTTATTGTTATAAAACATATTGTTGTGTGTGATTTGATGAGTAGATACAAGCGAGCATTAGAGTCGAAATTTATCCGTTCCTTTTACCCAAAGTGGATAAAAGCAATATATGTGGACCTCTCAATGATTTAGTGATGATACCTTAAGCGCTTGGCCAAGCCGGCACTAAGTTGATGTGTTCAATTACAGTCTGTTTTCAGTCATCATCAATCGGAAATCGGGAAACAACACACCCAGAGAGAGAGAATGATTAAAATCCATGTCTCAATCTATACAATATCTAGAATGCAGGAATATATGATCCCTTATCTTAAGGACACGTAACTGATCAGATCAAAGTTCGACAACGGTTTTTGGTAGCTAAAATTTGCTAGTCAATTTTGAAGTTATACTTACAACTATAGTTATTAGACTTATCCATGTGGGAGACTGTTGGATTAGGTGTCTAAGCCCATAACTATAATAGGTATGTACTTGAATTGATAGTAGCAATGTCCTTTTGGGTTGCATTCATACCTGGCAATTGAATATGATTATTGTTGGAGAGAGAAGAATGATTTATTAATTTATTACTTGGTTAATAAATTAATTTATTAATGTATTATGGATATAATATATTAATTAGAAATCATATTGTTTAATTAATATTTAATCAAAAATTAATTTTAGGATTAAAGGAATTAATTGAAACTGTGGGGACTAAAGGTGACAATGTTCAAAAGTTGAGCATTGAGCATTCTAGAACCTCCATTAAAGGGATGGAACAAAATCTAGAGTGTCCTGGGGTTTTCTTGGGCTTTAAGGGTGCATTGGAAGCCTTAGGGAGGAAATTAAGGGATTAGAGTTATCTAAGATACACTTGCCTTATCCTAAACCTTCCTTATCACCTATATAAACCCTTATAGGGTTTCTAGTTTTGTGTTCAATTCTTGTATGTCTAATAGTGAAAACATAGATCCTCAAATTAGGGTTGCATGCACAAACATGATTGTTTGTTTTGTATAAAACCCATCACTTTGGAGTGGCTGAAAAAGCATCTGAATGGAGAAAGGACTGAAGGGACTCGAGGAGTTGTATGGCCAACTCGGAGAGTCTGATGAAGATTGTTGTGCAAGGATTTTTGCATGGACTTGGCGAGTCAACTAGGGTTTTCTCGGCATTTGGAGATGCATGAACTCGACGAGTTGCAGGGAAACTCGACGAGTCAACTACGGATTTCACGACTTCTCAAGTTCTGGAAGGACTCGACGAGCCGGTGAACTGCACTCGACGAGTCGGGTCAACATGGACTGTTGACCTTGACCATTGACTTGGACTTTGACCAAGGGTTGACTAGTTGACTTATGGGGTATTTTGGTAGATTAGAAATTTATGGAAATGGTCTTATGTTAAATATAGGTGGTGGAGTTCATGGCCGTGTTTTGAGAGTTTGAGATTATCACTTTTATTCAACAGTTGAGAGGTAAGTTATCCTCACTATGCTAAGGGGTCGAACGCACCAATGTCGGCTCGTTGGATATGATTTCCTAGTAGTTGTATTATGTTCAGTACGAGTTAGTTATGCACGCTGGTTGCTATGCCAGTTGGTAGATCAGTAAGGCTACCCGTGTTATTGCCTGATTATTTGTATGTTCATTAGTTATGTTATATTTCGACATATTATGTGCGTTGGGTTGAGGTTATACTACTTTGTGCGGTAGCCAACAAACCCTAGAGTATTCCAGATATGAGTTGAGGGCCAGGCGGGGATACCAGACTCATATTGAGGACTCGAGAGCATTACAGATACGAGCTGAGGGCTAGGTAGGGCACGCCATAATCGTACTGTGGGCCCAGAAGCATTCCATATACGAGATGAGGGCCGGGGAGGGCATACACGACTCATATTGTGGGCTCAGAGGCAATCCAGATGTGAGTTGTGGGCCCAGAAGGTAATCCAGACTTATACTGTAGGCCAGGGGTAATCCAATCTATAAAGTTGTGGACCTAGTACATGCTGTTATTTGTATATGTGTTATTTGTAATGCATCAGTATTTTGGGGGAAATCACTAAGCTTTAGGCTTACAGTTTCAATTTTTGATTCAGGTACATCAGATGATCGCGAGAAGGCAAAGGTGTGATCGTACAACTCCTCATGTTTATGACTTGTTTCTAGGATACTATGATATGATACTATTTCGAAAACAAGTTTTGTAATGATTAATGGTTTTGAAATGTTTTGAAAAAGTTTAAATTTGGCTTGATTTTTATGGATGTTACATCCTTGTAGGGTTTAGATATTAACTTGTCTTAGATAAACTTTAATTGCTTCCGTTCCCATGTATTTGTTCTATTGTTAGGATTAGTAAAACCCATCATTATTAATGCATAAAGTTGTACGATGAGAACTTAATGGTTGTTGAGCATAATCTGTAACATCCTCCCAAGGCACCAATAACAATACTTTACGTTTTAAGAATCTCAATATGAAAACTTCCAAAAGGTCACCAATCTTGAACATTCTCTCGTTCAGGCCTTCTTAACGACATAGTTCTTATGTTATATGTTGCCCCTATGGCTTTATAACACGTTGTGATAAAGAAGATATTCATACTCCTTATAATGTGATATTTGGTTCTATTCCCTAGTCTATGTGAGTTACTATTCTATGCATGTTCTCCTCTTTCGACGTTTACGTCGATCTCATCAACTCTTGCCTAGTCTCTGATACCATTATCCATCCTCAATCTTCTAAAATAAAATAAATATACAAACGTGGTTCCAAAATAACTTTTTAATATCAAATTCCAACTCCTATTATTAACTTAATAGTTAGCAGCAGAGTTAGTGGGGGGACAAGCTTGTGCTTAGCTACCCCCAACTATTTCAATTCATGTATTTGTAAAGCCTAATAGCCTCTTATATCTGATTGGTTGTTGGCCCAATTAACCTACAGATACCCTTATCTCTTTGAACTTTAACCAAAAGTATGACTTTGATTCTTTCAAAAAAGTTACTATATATTAAATAATTATGAACTCTCGTCATATACCTACATGTTCTATTTTGTGGCTTCCATCTTTCAAAATGAAAAAAATCAATTTTTTAAAGACAGATTATAATTATCATGACAAACAATGATGTATAAATACCAATTTTTGATTCAAACAATTTTCCCTCGAATGATAATCTAAATTTGAAATTCAAATTGCTTTTTCTCATCACAATATACTAAAAGATATATTTTCCCTTTTATTTATAATAAATGTTGTAAACCAATATAAAAAAAAAAGTTATATTTTAAATTTGTATATTTAAAGAACATAAAAGTCATCATGTTAGGTTTGTAGAACACAAAATATAATAAATTTATTTGTTAGACTCAAGAGGAAGTAGATATTTTACAAAATTTGTAATTTAAAACTTCTACCAGTTATTCTAAAAATTTTCTAATATGATTATTTTTATTAGTTTTTTAGGAGGTCGATTATATATATATATAATATATATATATATATATATATATATATATATATATATATATATATATATATATATATATATATATATATATATATATATATATATGTGTGTGTATGTATGTATGTATTTGTTCTAACCTATTATTTAATTATTAACTTGCTAATATTATTGTCTTTATTTTAGAGTTGTTAATTCAGCTAAAAATAAATAGAATTTTGCGAAAAATAGATATAGGTGTAAGCCTCATTTATTCAAAATTTCTAGCTCTGTCCCTGTTAACACGGTAATGGAAGCAATAAAAAAACATAAAATCCTTGGAGTGTTATATTTCATCGTCATTACGATTAAGCCTTATGATTTTCCTTCCTACTATCACTTGCTATATAGTTCTCTCGGATGTATACATTTAAATTTATAATTGGATAAGCCTAGTGCATAGTGAGTTTGTGGTTTTCATGCATATTGATATCATTGGATAATATAATATAATGCAAAAATCTTGTTCTTTTTGTTTTACATTCCACACTATGATAACACATAAGGGGAACTAAAATGAAAAAGAATCAAAAAGTTTGTTGTTTTATGTATTGACATCAATATGAATGAAACCATGAATTCAATATACATTAAGTTTATCCAATTAAAAATTTAAATGTGTGTAATCCAAGAAATTATATGGCAAATGACAATCGAAAGGGCAAGGATAAGGCTTAACGTGATGATAACGAGTTCCGAAAAGATGTAACACTTCAAGGATTTTATGTTGGTTTTTATTCCTTTAAAACAATATGATTATTGACATAGAAGCACAATGATGTTTTCTATTTGATTTTAAAAGGTCCTTCAATTAACTTTCGTACCTATGACCCCACTAAAGTGACAAGTTACCTGCAAAATTAAGATTTTCTTCATTTTTTTCCCAGTTACCCGGTTGGTCAACGGAAGTCAAATGTGGCGTGGTCTGTGATATCCAGATGGTGTCCAATCATTCTACTATAATACCTTCGTAAGGATTCAATAGAACAACATTCACTGTTTCCTTACCCTCTGACGAACACCAACCCTTTCGACCATATCTTCCTCCTCCGAATCGTATAACACCCTCGCTATTTATCGGGCTAAAGTGAATCCTCCCTGCTTGTGTTGCGATCAGCCTGCATCAAAGCTCAGAGAAGCTTGGAAGCCTAACAAACCAGGTCGTCACTTCTACAATTGTGCAAAATCAATGGTAAGCCTTCATTACAATCGATAAATTTAAAACCTAAAGTTTTGATTTTTGTACTACAAACCCCCTATTTTGTTCGACAAAAAACCCCATTTACGATGAAAAAACCCTAAATTTTGAACAGTAAAACCCTTAATCTGTTGTGTGGCCTTTTTTTGTAGATATCCAACGATAGTTGCAACTTCTTCCAGTGGTTTAACCCAACATTGCCAAAACACTACAAGGATACGTTATGGAAAATGAAACTTACGATCGACGACCTTTTGGTTAGGAATGGTCAAGTTGTTGAGCTGCAGAATAAGATGGAGAAGCACAAGCTGCTTAGGAAAAGTGAGAAGGAACTTGCTGGATCTAGGATCCAAGAACTACTCATTGAGATTGAAAGGTTGAAGAAGATGTTAAAAAAAGGTTGTTTTAATTGCTCTAGTTTGCTTACTATTTGTGGTCATGAAATTTAAGCTATAGTTGTTGGCGTAAGATGTTGGGTCATGGTGTTTAGGTGCTTTTTAGAATAGGGTGGATATGTGGATGTTCTTTTCGGATGGTCTTTTGGGTTATTAGATATTTAGAAGATGGTCTTTTGGGTGATTAGATAGCTGGAAATCAAGTTAAAGCTCTTTTAAGTGGTGCAGGGTGTATAGTGTTGTTTGATGGTGTAATGGTGGTATATGAAATGGTGATCCTTTTGACAATTTAGTATAGGCAATGTAATTTATCCCATTATGTATGGTCATGTAACAAGTTTTGTATGGACTAATATTATAATAGAAAGCATGGATTCTATTATATTCTAACTGCTCTTTATGGTTTCCTTGATAGTATACTGCATGAATTGTTATAGTGCATGAATTTTTATATAATATCATGCATGAGTTGTTATATGGTCCACAAACAAATTCCAATAAATAGCATGGTCCACATAACAATTCCAAGAGGGACAAGAAACAAGGGACCATCTAATGCATAAAAAAGACACAAAGGACATTGGATCCCACATGATAATATATTAATAACCAAAGTGAGTGCCATACATTACATAAAAATTCCGAAATAGAATATTTAAAAGCAAACATTCTAACATGTTTTTAATACATAATAAAAGAAACATCCCATGCAGTTCCCACACAAAAAGTACATTAAGTTGACATGTTTTTCTGAAGTGTTACCCTTTCCATCCTTTCCTATAACTTGGGTTGCCATTTTTTCTTGATGATCCTTTCACTCTTTTCCCTCCTCTTAACCTGGGGAATTACAACATTACCCCTCTCCCTTGTTACTTGTGTAGTCCTACTTTCCCTAGTACCTTGTGTATCCCCACATTCCATTCATGTACTACTTCCACTTGCCTCTTCTACAGTCCTTTTCTTCACATTTTTTCACTATTAAATGAAACATAATTAATAACAAATAAAAAATTAATAAATAAGAGTTTGTATATACCTTTGTTGTCTTATTCCTCTTAACCCTACTACCATGTGTATCCCCACCATCCATTCCTGTCCTACTACTACTTGCCACTTCTACAGTTCTTTTCTTCATATTTTCACCCTTTTAAATGAAACATCATTAATAACAAATAAAAAATTAATAAATAAGAAATTGTATTTACCTTTGGTGCCTTAGTCCTGTTAACCATAGTTGGTAACTTTTTTGGTCGTGACCTATCAATATTTGGACATGTCTTCTTATTATGTCCTTCCATTTTGCACAAACTACATGATATCTTCTTACCCTTCTTAGAAACTTTATGCTTTCCACCATTTTCACTCACATCTCTAACTTTTTTAGTTTTTGGCCTACCATGCATCGTTCTATTCTTAGGGGGTAGAGGTGGAATGTAATTAGTTTCAGGCCACATCTTGCTTCCATTCATTGGATAAATTTTGTACTGGTAGGTCTTCATATACATTGTGCTGCAAAAATCAGGATCCACATATTTCTCAACATCTTTATTGAGGTAACTAATGGCAGCCATAGAATGAACACACCCATAACCGTTAACTTGCCACATCGTGCATGAACATGTCCTATTGTCCAAATCAACATCATATGCCTCACTTCCTGACCTAGTCTCAAACTGGTTGAGTCCACTTGACAATACCTCCCAAAACCTTTGATTAATCCTTAACTCATTCAACCTCAACCTTATTTCAGGTGAAACATCACTTGACCATCCATTAACTTTTGTAGTGAACAGCTTGTTCATCATATACATTCTCAATTCTTCAAGCATTGTGATGATAGGTTTCTTCCTGGCTTCAACTATGACTGCATTGAAACTTTCACATCCTCCATTCTCCACACTAGAACAACATCTACCAACTTGATAGTAAGCTCTTGACCATGTTCTAGGGTCCTTCTCTATTAAGTGGTTACTTGCCTCTGGACTCAAAAGCTCAATATCCTTCACTATTTCCTTGAAAGATTGTTCTATTGTTGCATTACATGCAGACCAAAACTTGTTAACAAATTTTTCCCCTAGAAACTTTTTACTGAAGTTGACTACAATGTGCCTTGCACATTTCCTATACTCAGTTTGTGGTAACAATTCCTTGAAAACGTCCATAAGACCTTATACCAACGTAAGTAGTTAGAAATGAATTGGGTAATATACTTTGTGAAAGAGAAATAATAAAATGTGTTGCTTAATTTGTGTTGGTCTGACATAAGTGTTAAACCTTGTCCTATACCAAGATTGAGATGATCACTTAACAATGACAATAACCATTTCTCAAACTAGTTGAGTCCACTTGGCAATACCTCCTAAAACCTTTGATTAATCTTTAACTCATTCAACCTCAGCCTTATTTCAAGTGAAACATCACTTGACCATCCATTAACTTTTGTAGTGAACAGCTTGTTCATCATATACATTCTTAATTCTTCAAGCATTGTGATGATAGGTTTCTTCCTGGCTTCAACTATGACTGCATTGAAACTTTCACATCCTCCATTCTCCACACTAGAACAACATCTACCAACTTGATAGTAAGCTCTTGACCATGTTCGAGGGTCCTTCTCTATTAAGTAATTACTTGACTCTGGACTCAAAAGCTCAATATCCTTCACTATTTCCTTGAAAGATTGTTCTATTGTTGCATTACATGCAAACCAAAACTTGTTAACAAATTGTGCCCCTGGAAACTTTTTACTGAAGTTGACCACAATGTGCCTTGCACATTACCTATGCTTAGTTTGTGGTAATAATTCCTTGACAACTTCCATAAGACCCTATACCAACATAAGTAGTTAGAAATAAATTGGGTAATATACTTTGTGAAAGAGAAATAATAAAATGTGTTGCTTAATTTGTGTTGGTCTGACATAAGAGTTAAACCTTGTCCTATACCAAGATTGAGATCATCACTTAACAATGACAACAACCATTTCCAGTTTTCAACACATACCATTGGGTATATTTGGTCCCTAGCATCTCTCCCCACAGCACAAAGCAACTCACCACTAACATAGCCTTTCAAGAAGCAACCATAAATTCCAATCACCTTCTGACACCCTTCTAACCACCCCATCTTTACACCATCAAAACAAACATAAAACTTACTAAAGTGATTAGTTCCATCTGGTTGTAAGAACATCCATGCTGACTGTTGAACCAGGGTTAGATCTTCTAATTTCCTCTCCATAAGACCAGAGTTTGGCATAATGCTCAATAAGGGTACCTTCAATAATAGTTATAGCATACTGTTTGGCCCTTCTACATTGGCTAATACTGACTTGAATACCAAATTTCTTGATGACCTCCAATCGTAGTTGCCTAATTGTCAGTTTCTGTCTATGCAAAATATCCTTGGTGTAGTGGTTACCAATCCATCTGTAATTGACAATTGAACCCAATTTGTAGTTCCTAGCACATTGATGCTCACTTTTTAAAGAGTTTATTTGAAAACTATGTTATGTACTCATACAACTTGCCCATAGCATGAAAGTACAAGCACCTTTACAACATAATACTAAAAGCCTCTTACTGTCATTCTTTTCGAACCATAGTTGATATCCATTTTTAACAGCATAATTACATAACATGCTCTTAAGTTGTTTTGGATCCTCAAATCTCATGCCTAAAATTGGTTCTTGCTTTTTCCAGTGTACATGAGGATTAAAGATAGGATGTTCCTCAAGTACATCATTGTCAAATTCCTCATTATTATCTATCTCTTCAATCTTTTTCTCTTCTCCACCTCCCGGGCATAACTTGTTAAGAAACTCATCGTCCTTAGTCTTGTTTAGTGGGGTACAATATTCCCCATTGATTTCATCATCCAAAGCAGCATCAAACATATAGGCTGGTTCAGGATCGGGGATTCCTTGTGCAGTTTCTTTGTCATCCCCTTAGATCACTGAACCACTTTCATCACTTTCTTCATCGAACCAGTCCTCAAATCCTTCCCCAATATGATCTAAATACGGGTCTATTGGCCTTTCAGGTGATTGATAAGCAACATCGATAAACACTTGATAATCCATTTCGTTAATTATTACCCTAAGACCATTTGCCATAGTGAGATCACGTGCTAAGTAATAATGTTTCTCAAAAGGTTCTCCAACAAATCTTTCTAGAAATTCACAACACCCATGTAAATCCATTCCAGAGAAATCATGATCAGTAAACATAAACGTTTCACCTCCAGTATATCTATGTGGGTGTCTTGTAAAAACAACGTTATAATGTAAACGCACTTTTAAGAAAATAGGGTCTGGGTTCACCATGAATTTTAACTAGAAAAGAACTAGATGAACTTTAACTACAAAAGAACCCTAGACGAGAGAAAACTTACTGAAATGGGAGAGAAAAGCCCTAAAATCTTCAACACTTCAATACGATTTTGATAACCAACTGGAGTAAAGCCATGATTTGAATAGTTATACGAAGGCATTGACATGCCATTGATGAGATGTCATTTAATTGAAGAAATCTAAAATCTAATGGCCACGTCACATTTAATTATCGGGTAACCGATTTTAATGGTATAAACGACAAGTAATTTGTCACTTTAGTGAGGTAAGAAGTATGAAAATTAATTAAAGAGTAAATTACTGAAATCGTCCCTATAGTTTGGTTAAAATTGCATATTTGGTCTCTAATTTTTATTTTGCACTCGGATCGTCCCTGTGGTTTGATTTTGTTGCATTTTTCGTCACTATGGTTTGGTTAAAATTGCATGTAACGAAAAACGCAACAAAATCAAACCACAGTGATGAAAATTGCAATAAAATCAAACCACAGGAACGATCTGAGTGCAAAACAAAAGTTAGGTACCAAACGTGCAATTTTAACCAAACCATAGGGACGATTTGAGTAATTTACTCTTAATTAAATGACCTTTTAAAATCAAACGGAAAATATACGTCAATAACCCAAAACAATATTAAGAGTTCTAATTTGATATTAAAAGTTATTAAAATTGTGTTTGGTTATCTATTTTATTTTGCAAAATTAGGATGTCACATAATTCTATTACGGATACTTAAGGATTAAAAGTTAGGTATAATCTCTTAACTGTTAAGTGTTACATGATTTTTGTTTTACGTGATGGTTGTAAAACTGGTATGACATGAAACTAAGTAATCAATTATTACACAACAAGCTAAGATTGCAAAATTTTGGAAAACCCAATATTGATAACAAACAATAGAAGATGAACATGTACGAAAATTTTGAATATGCATTTCAAAATGATTATTATAATTTGAGGTATCAGATAATTGGATCATTGTATAATTTTATTTATGTATTTATTTTTATTTTTATGCTAATTTATTATCTATTAGTTTACTCATAATTTTTTTTTGGGTTATCATGTTCTTATGATAAATAACAATAAAACTTACTTATCATCATACAACAAGTGAAATAACAAACAAACAATAAGATGTTGTTAAATCTTTTTGTATGGTAAAACCAATATTTTTAAAAATTGCATCTATAAAAATATAAAAGATATAACATTATTATTCATGATTATTATTAATGATCTGTTGTTATCGTCTCTAAAAAAGATTTTCAAATGATTTTACTTTCAATCTCAATAAATAATATATTTGTAACAACTCACACATGTATGTACAAAGTATATCAGTTATGGTTTCAACAACTACATAGCCATAGGATAAGGGGAAGATGAGATGTATTCATCACCACCTACGTGATGGTAGTCTGGTAGATATATTGCTTCCACTTTCGACATATGACTTCGCCAGGCAGAAGAACAAGATCCCACACTTAATATATATATATATATATATATATATATATATATATATATATATATATATATATAGAGAGAGAGAGAGAGAGAGAGAGAGATACAGTTCAATTGAGAAAAAAAAAAGTTAAGAATGGAGAAATGATTCTCAGTCAATCATTTATTTTTGTCGCAAATGCTTCCAACGTACCGGCGGAAATAGGAAAGAAATACAAATGTGTTTTTCAACAAAACATGTTTCGTTAAACTATGTTAAGCATTACCTTAATATATATAGAAAAACATAATTTTTGTGTTTTTTTTTTTAATTTTTTTTTTAATTTTTAAGAATTGAAGGTTGGATTGAAAGAGCAAAAAACGAATGAATTTCAAATCTTATCTAATTCTCTACACTTATGTATTTATGATTGAAGTTTATTATATCATATTTACAAGTTTATCACCGTGTCCTTTATGTTTAGATGCTAATTAAATGAGTAGCTGAGAATGATTCACTCATTCTCAACTTTTTTTTTATTTTCTCAATTGAATCCATCTCTCTCTCTCTCTCTCTCTCTCTATATATATATATATATATATATATATATATATATATATATATATATATATATATATATATATATATATATATATATATATACTAGTTTATAACCCGTGGTATCACGGATTAGAAAGGTAAAAATAATTTTAATTAAATTATAAGGTAATTATTGAGCAATGATAAAAAAAATTAATAATTTAATAAATTAGGCAATAGATATTACAAATAAATTTTTTGTTGATGTTTGATATGTGTAAAATGGACGAGTGAATTAATGAAAATTTAATTAATCAGGAAAAACCTTAAAATGACAAGTGGCAAATAATTAATGTGAAGCTCTAATTAATTGATACGTGGCAAATGTGCTACTCTTTTATTAGGTACGGAGATATATATATATATATATATATATATATATATATATATATATATATATATATATATATATATATATATATACTAGGTGTAAAACTCATGTATTACATGAGTTTAATTAAGAAAAAAACAAATATAAAATTTTAATAATTTGAAAAGTTTGAATTTATAAGAAAAATACGAAAAATTTGAATTATTAAAATTAATTAGACTTTAATGTATTGAATACATTACATATATAAATTATTCTTAATAAATACTTTACATATATATTACCTTACACATTAAATGTGGAATTTTAATTTAATAAAATGAAAAATACAATAAAATGACAAGTGGAAAATAGAAAATTTAAAAAATCTAAAAAATAACATGTGTCCAAATAAATGAGAAGAGGACATGTGGCAAAAAAACCTTCATTTATTTATATATATATATATATATATATATATATATATATATATATATATATATATATATATATATATATATATATATATATATATATATAAACCAGCTTTGCAAACATTTCAAAACTTAATTATTGTTACTTCCAATCATATTAATTACTATTTTGTAGCAGATCTAAACACCCACTAATTACTTACCGAATATTTAATCAACAATGCACATCGGCACATGGATATTTTGAAATCTTTTTGTTCCAGTTTTTATTTGGTTATTAAATGGTTTGGATATAGATGAATTAACCCAAATTTTGCTTTTTGAAGAATCCTAAAACTACTAATCTAGACTAATATTTCATTTATAGATAACGAAACATTTGAATAACTTCTTTATAGTTTCAGAATTGTATCTTTATAGTTTTAGAATTGTATCTCTCCAATGTATGTCTCACGATTTAAAAATTTTAGGTTGAGAAGTTCGTAATTAGACCAAGGCGATATGCCTTGTACCGCGTACTACGGTATAGTGCGGTATGCGGTGAACACCGCACTGATCACCCAAAGAAAAATGTGGTATACATATCTTGTGTTACAGCTTTACCGTGTAGGAAAAAAAGTTTCTCCTTCAAATGTAGTACTTCATGCATAAAAATGGGTACTGTGGTGGGTGTGGTATGACCAAGGTTGTAAAACTCGTTAGTCAGCACTATCGAGTGGCGAGTACTCGGGAGTACTTCGGATTCGGTAATTAATGTAAAAATATTTGTAGGAAAATTACATATGTCAAGATCATAAGTTAAAATCATAAGTTGATTGAAATATATAACAAAAATAGATATATATGAATACACAAAAACTAAAAAACACATAATAGTCTCAATTTATGAATAATTACTGAAAATATGTGTGTGTGTGTGTGTGTGTGTGTATATATATATATATATATATATATATATATATATATATATATATATAGGAATAATCACATGTGTGTGTTAAATAATAAATCATTAAATATATTATATATATTAATCACCGAGTTGATCGAGTTTTACAATACTACTTACTTTACTAAGGGGCCGATCGAAAATAATAAATTTTTTAAGAGGTATTTCGGTCATTTTCTAAATTTGATTATTTAAAGACATGGAAAATTATAATTTTAGGTGGCATTATGAACTTTTTCTGGATAAGTGCAACAGTGTTAATTTGAATGTTTATGGCTCTTGGTATGATTGTTTTGAAGTTTTTGAGTAAAAATAAGAATAAGTGGCAATATAGTCTACGTTCAATTTTAAAAAATAACAACTGGGGAAAATGTTCCCAAAAGAATTTTTTTTTTGAAAACATAAAGAAAAAATATGCTTCTAATCTAGGACTAGAAAACAAATTTAATGTAAGTCAATAAAATCTTCCTGTTTTATCTATTTCTTTTGTATATCCAACCTCAAAAAATGAGGATTTATTACTTAATTATTAGTATATATAATAATGAGTTATGATCGAATGTGTTTTTTTTTTGTTAAGGTTGTTTTTTAGTAAATTAGAATGTTTATTTAAATTTTTTAAAAATATTTTTAAAGTAATTGTAGAGAATCACTTCTGTGTTTGACTTATTTGCCTTGTTCATATTTCTTTTTTATTTATGAGAACGATCAGATTAGGTTAATTTAATTCAAAAATTAAACATTACAGGATGCGGTTATAAAAACAAATCCGCCGAACTTTTTTTTCTTCTAATTCTTTAGATCA